ATGTATAATTTAATTTTTACTTTTTTTAATGAATATTAAAGTAACTCTTATTATATTATCTTTAATAGTAAGTCAATCTATTTAATTATAAAGTCAAAGTTAATATGTTAGATTATTCCATCAACCCCTTTCAATATATATTGATATAGATATATAGCAACTAGCTCGTTGTTTAACCCTTTGGTCAGTGGATCTACAAGGTTATCTATTGACCAGTGTTCCAAAAGTCGCTAGGCGCTTGACCAGCGCCTAGCGCCTAGAGCGCCTAGGCGGGGCCTATAAATCAATATTAAATTTATTATTTTTATTTATTTTAATTACCTATAAAATAAAATTTTCTCAATTATAATAAATCGACATGCTAAGTACAAATAATAAAATTAATATATTTTAAAGAGCACATGAGAACTATATAATGTAATTAGTATTTAAAAAAACATAAAATTTGCCGCTGAGCCCGCCTAGGTCCGCCTATGCCTGCCTAGGCGCCACCAAGTCCGCCTAGTAGCGTCTAGGGCCGCCTAGGCCCGCCTAGCCGTCTTGTCGATTTTTTCTGCCGATTTGTGCAATTCGGAGGCGCCCGGGCACTGCCTGGCGCATCGAGTTTTAGAACAGTGCTTTTGACTTCACATAGTCAATAGATATAGTACTTATTGAGAATTGTCTAATGGAATTACTAGTTCGTATATAAGAGGATTACTAGTGCAACACATGTATATCACACGGGTGTTTGTTAAAAAATTATTCTTAAATTTTAAAATTAATGAGGAAATATTATTATAAATTTTAGTTACTTTTATTACAAAACATATATATTATTATATATTTTAGAATGACACATGTTACTTGTGCGACTTATATGTGTTATATTATAGTAATTTTTATAACGTATATCATATAACTACATGAAACATAAATATATTATTGGATAAATATTTTTATTTTTCCAACTAATATTAAAAAATAATTTTATTATTGTGTTAGTGTCATTTCTTATTTTCGTACGCATAAAATTAATAATTAATTTTCCACATAAAATTAAACACTATTAATATTTTATCTTTTTTATTAATTAATATTTTGTTATTTTGATGTTATAGCCATATTTTATAATTAATCATAATTTATAAATCTATTTAATTTGATCTTGTGCCCCATGGACCTTTTCACCCTTTATATACACATAGACACACACTGTGATAAAAGGTCCACAGGACATGCCCCATGATAAAAACGACGACACAGGAAGAGTGACAACACGTTTTTAAATTCTTGATGCCACTTTTGGGACCACAAAGATATAATATTATATAATTTGCGTCCACAAACAAAAATAATAATAATAAAAAAAAAAAAATCATCACGTGTTATCCTAACGTCGTCCACAAACAATAATAATAATAAAAAAGAGAAAATTGTAAATTTGGTTCCAAAACTTTTTCTGTTTCCCATATTTGGTCTCAGACACCTCAAATCTGGTCCTTTTTAAATTTTCGGTGCCAATTTGGTCCCAGTCCGTCAAAAATTAACAGTCTTGAACAGTGACCGTTAGTCTGTTATTTTTATTATCTTATCTTTTACTTGAAATTCGAACCGTCATTCTCATTTTAACAAAACCGATTCCTCTCTCTTTCGAAAAACAAAATCAAAGTTCTTAAAAAAAAATTAGGGCAAGAATTCCATATCAAATTCAACACAAAAATCAACATGAAGCCTAATTAAATTGAAATCATACGCCGACACTGCAACATGCTTCGCTCAGAAGATGCAGCAAGTTCTTCAAACCCAAAATACGGTAACATTTATTCTTCTGATTCTTCTTTCACTCGCTTTTTTTTTTTGTCTTTATTTTGTAAACATTCTGCATTTGTTATGTTAGTTTTGTATTAATTAGGGTTTTTCATTTTGTAAGGCAGGGATATAAGATTTAGGGTTCGGAATTTGGTAATTTAG